TTGAGTCTCGGCGTCTGCCTCGGCTTCCTCCTGCTCCTGCATAACCCTGAAGGCTGCATGAATAGCTTGTGCCTTGTCTAGGTCCTCCTGCAAGGCAGCTCGGGTTGCAGCTGCAGTTGCGAAGGCAGTCTTGGCAGCGTCCTCGGAGGCGACAGCGTCCTGCACCCTCTTCTTGGCGCGCTCGATGTAGCGGTCCTGGTTCTGTACCCGATCCTTGGGCGGGTACGCGCGAATGAACATGTAGAGAATGACGGCGTATTCGTCCGTAAGCTCGTTGAGGCGCGACTGGTTGGCCTTCAAAACCTGCTGTGACTTGATCTGGCATTCCAGGGCCTCTAGATTCTTCTTCAGCTGCAATCGGTGGGCCGCGAGCTCCTTCTGGTCCGTCGGCGGCCCCAGCCATGCAGCATGGGATTGTGCCTCCTGCGGCATGGCAGGCGAAATGCCTAGCGAGAAGCCAGGCAGGCTCGAGACAGCTCCGTTTTGCGGTACTCCTCCGCGTCCTCCCGAACCCGATCCTCCCATCTGGGTAGGCTGGGAATTGGACTGGGGCTGCTCTGATTGCGACTGCTGGGACTTGCGCGGATGAGAGCGGTCGCGTGAATTCCCTCCTCGTGCCCGAGCCGACGGCTGCGGGGGGAAGCACCATGCACACATGCTCACATTGGGCCAGTTGTGTGTGCCACACTGACCACACTGCCACTGTTGCCCCGACGAGGAACCGGGCTGCGCCGAGCTGGAGTCGAGCTGACGCTGCCATGGTCGTGACATTGAGCTGTGATGTGCACGAAGTAGTTGTCCTGCTGTAGCGATGCGCACGATGGTGCGGGCGTGGGTCCGCCGTAGCCGCAGACGTCTGTGCCAAGCGGGCTCTGGCCCGCGTCGGCTCGTGCTGGGCGAGGCGGCGATCGCGGCACGGGCGCGCGGCGGCAGCTATGGCGGGCAGCCGCGCGGCACGTGTGGGGTCGGCCTGGCAATGGGGGGGCCCGCGCTCCCTGGGAACGCAACCCGCGGCCCCCTTGACCGGCCAACGCCTTGAGGAAGGAGGAGGAAGGAGGGGGAGGAAAAGGAGGGGGAGGAGGAGGAGGAAAAGGAGGAAAAGGATGAAAAGGAGGAAAAGGAGGAGGAGGAGGAGGAGGAGGAGGAGGAAGGAGGAGGAGGAGGAGGAGGAGGAGGAGGAGGACGAGGGGGAGGGAGGAGGAGGAGGAGGAGGAGAGGAGGAGGAGGAGGAGGAGGAGGAGGAGGAGGAGGAGGAGAAGGCGGAGAAGGGGGGAGGGAGGAGGAGGGAGGAAAAAAGGAAGGAGGGAAGAGGAGGAGGAAGAGGAGGAGGAGGAGGAGGAGGAGGACGACGACGACGACGAGGAGGAGAAAAGGGCGCCAGTCCAGCGTAAAACGGGAGGAAGTCTCGGGCGGGAGCGCTGGTTTTGTCGGGACGGGGGCTGTCGGCGGCGAGCAAGAGCACCGCCTTGAGTAAAAAAGAAAGGGAGTCGTGAGCGAGAGGCTGTCGGCGCCGCCTGGGGGGCGGCGCCGATGAGAGAAAAAATAGCGCGCCTGTCCAAGGTAAAACGGGAAGAACTCTCGAGCGGGAGCGCTGGATTTGTTGAGACGGCTGCTGTCGGCGGCGAGCAAGAGCACCGGCCCTGAGTTAAAAAGGAGGAAATCTCGAACGGGAGCGTCGTTGTTGTTGGGGGGCCGGTTTTGGCGGCCCCCCAAACCACTTGAGAGTGAGCCTAATGTTCAATGAAAATGCGGCCGGCGCCTCGGCGAGAGCGCCAGGGCGCCTGTAAGGGGTCCAACAATCATAATTGTTAGTATTTAACATTCAACAATCAGTTTAAAACTGTTCACTGTTATCCGCTCGAAATTCATCCAACGTGTATTTCCCACACCCTCGATACCCGCGTTCGTCGTCTTCGATCGTACCTCTTTTGGGAAGATATTTTTCTTCCCTGCAAGCCAGGCCCCAGCAAGCGGCGGGGCGGCCACGGACCGACAAACTGGCCAGCGGCAGCGCTGACCAGCGGCAACCCGACCCGAAGAAAAACGGACAGGGGACCGACCACGACGATGACGACCACGACAACGACGACGACGACAACGACGGCGACGACGACGAGCGAAAGCGAGAGCGAGAGCAACAGCGGGGCCACGAAGGGCAGGGAGGGGGCCACGAAGGGCGACAGCGGAGCCACGAAGGGCATGCGTATGGGGCCACGACGAGCGCGAACTAGCGGGGGGCACGAAGGGCAGATAATGCTGGGCCACAGAGGGCAACGACGGGGCCACTGAAGGCAGCAACGGGGCCACGAAGGGCAGCGAAGGGGCCACAAAGGGCGATACCGGGACCACGAAGGGCATGCATATGGGGCCACGATGGGCGCGAACTAGAGGGGCCACGAAGGGCATACGTATGTTGGGCCGCAGAGGGCAAGGACGGGGCCACTGAAGGCAGCAACGGGGCCACGAAAGGCGACAGCGGGGCCACGAAAGGCATGCGTATGGGGCCACGGCGGGCGCGAACGAGCGGGTGCCACGAAGGGCATACATACATGGGGCCACGAGGGGCAACGACGGTGCCAATGAAGGCAGCAACGGGGCCACGAAGGGCAGCGAAGGGGCCACAAAGGGCGATACCGGGACCACGAAGGGCATGCATATGGGGCCACGAAGGGCTGTTACGGGGCCACGAAGGGCAGCGAGGGGGCCACGAAGGACTGCAACGGGTCCACGAAGGGCAGCGCGGGGGCCACCAAGGGCTGCAACGGGGCCACGAAGGGCAGCGAGATCCAGATTCCTAAGTAAGCTGCGAGGGAGTCCTTAGCGTGAGCGCGACTCCTGAGTGCCTGAATGTCAGGCGCGGCGCTTGAGTAAATTGCGTGGAGTTCCAACGCAAGAGCGCGATTCTTGAGTAAATTGCAAGCAAATCTCCAGCGAGAGCGCGACTCCAGAGCGCCGAGAGAGCGATTCCTAAATAAATTGTAAGGGGGTCCCAAGCGAGGGCGCGACTCCTGAGCAAACGCAAGGATGTCTCAAGCGGGAGCGCGGGTCCTGGCTAAATTGTGAAGAAGTCTCAGGTGGGAGCCGTTGTTGTTGTAATCTGGTGGCCAGGGGCGCAGTTTGAGCCTGGTGACTTTGCCAGATCAAAAATAGGATGCGAGCCCCTGGGAGGCACTTCTATTGAAAAAACACAGTGGTCACTGGAAGGGGGGGGCAACAATACTCATTCTTCAATAGTGGGAGTTCAACAACAACAACAACAACAACAACAACAACAACAATCATTTAAGACTGGAGACACTCCGTTCTCACCAGTGCCAGGGTTTTCATAGGAGGCGGACAATACCCCCACTTTGTGGGGGGGCCAGTTCAAGCTCTACCAAATTTCCAAACGACTCTTCGCCACCACCCACACCCAGCTTCCCGCCCTATGACGTTCGGACACTTCACTTCGTGGCATGCGGACGACCGTGGCTACTATTCAGGGCCCCGCGGCCGACGACGACGGCGTGCGCGCGCGAAGAAAAAACGAATGTGTCCCGCATGGTATTATTTGACAGGGATGATGGCCCTGGCAGGTGCGCAACCGTTGTCGCAGAAGTTCGAAAAAGTTGCTCGCAAAAGCCCGTTTGACAGAAATGTTTAAAAAGTGTTGGGTTTCCTACGAATCCGCAAGAGCGCGCGGGATGAGATTTTGACATTTTTTTGTTGAAAAACCATTGGTTTTTTGATGTTTTTATGTTAAAATCGCTCCGAACACTAAGCTTTTGGAAGGATTTCGTCTTGCGCGCGCGAATGTCCACTTTACCTTATTTTTTGCAAGGGATTCTTGAAATTTGATTATATTAGAACAAGAAATGTCATTTTATAGTGTTTTTTGCAAGGGAAAGCGGGGGGGAACAAAACAACCGGATCTTGATCACATCGAATTACCTGAGGCTTCCTCACGAAAATGATGAAAATGTAGCTGCGGCCTAGGCGGCGCAGGGGGGCCGTGCACCAGGGGTCCCAACAATAATTATTCTTTAGAATTAATAATGTTCAACAACAACAACAACAACAGCAGCAGCAGCAGCAGCAGCAGCAGCAGCAACAACAACAACAACAACAACAACAGCTCCCGTCTCATAGTTCATCATCGTGTATTCCCAAATCGCGCTCTCGCGCGGGATTTCCTCACATTTGATGCAGGAATCACGCTCTCGCGTGGGAATTCCTGCCAAGTGATTGAGACGCCGCGCCCTCGACACCCACGAATTACGCTCTCGCTGTGGATTTCCTCGCGACCTGGGCGGTTGGGCCCGCCTTCCCAACCCGCCCGTTAGGGTCTATCCGCCCGATCTGCCCGTCTGGTTCTGCCACGTGTTTTCTGCTCCTAGCCACCCTCCTGCTATTCCCTCTCGTGCTACATCCTCCTCCTTCCCCCTTGTCCCTTCCTTCCATCCGTCCTTTCGTCCCCTGCGTAAGGGGCTGCACGAAAATACACGTTGCAGGTAAAAAAAATGTATACCCCCAAGGGGGTACGATCGAAGACGAAGAGGGCGGTTATCGAGGATCTGGGATGTACGTGTTGCATGTCACGCGAGCAGATAGGAGCGAACCGAATCAGAATGACTGTTGCTTTTGTTTTTGTTGGTGGTGGTGTTTGTGTTGCTGTTGTTGTAAGAATCGAGTCACCTATACAATATGACGCGCAGGGCTTTCCGTTGTAAAGAATACGAATACGGTGTGAGCCCCAGGAGGATGGAGCACTTCAATTGAACACACAACGGGCACGGGGGAGGCGGGTGACAATAGTTATTCTTTAGAAATGAGACCTCATCTGAACTGACTAGCAAACGAAACAAAAAAACTAAAACATAAAAAGGAAGAGAGGAGAGTAGTAATCAGATTTGTACTGCAGAGCGAAGGACGAGGAGGAGGAGGAAGTGAGCAAAGGGGGAGAGTGAGAAAGAAGAAGAGGAGGACGAAGGGGGGGGAGGGCCGAGGGGGAGGCTCGCCACCTGCACGTACCACGACCCCCTGGGGAGCTTCGGGACGCTGCACTGGCCCCTGTCGTTGAGCCCCCTCGCCAGGACGGAGCCGTCGCCGAGCAGGAACAGGGTCAGCTTGGGGCCGGCGAAGACCTGCTTGAAAGTCTGCCCCCGATCGAGTGCGGGGATGTCGCACTGCCCAGCGTCGGTGCCGCCCACTGCGACGGCCCTGCCATCGCTCCGCAGCAACACAGTGTGGTCAGCTCCGGCGGAAGCCTGCACGTACACGGTTCCGCGAGGCAGCTCAGGAATGTCGCACTGGCCCGCATTGTTGTCGCCACAGGCCACCACAGAACCATCGCTGCGCAGGAAGACTGTGTGGTCGCCGCTGCTGGATATGCTGGTGTAGAAGAC